GCACGTGAATGAAGCACAACCACCTTACAAACAAGATTGAAACTGAGATAAAAAATTATTCAGTAAGTGTTCATTATTTTCTTACCTTACTACATCTATTTATAAATTCCTAATCTTTAGGTTCATGATATACCTTATTATGTTTGTAACATCAACCCAATTTATTCTAGATAATCATCAAACTCAAAGTTAATTTTATCCAAAATCCTACTTTAAAACCATTAAAAGAAAGCACAATTTTAATAGAAGTGCAGGGGGAAACTTTTTGTTAGAATCTTGTGAAATAGAAGACCCACAAATAAACGGGTGCTACAAATATGGAAGGCAGCTCATTGTTTAAAATTGCACAATATGAGGCTCACCTTTGAGCAATTTTTGTGAAAAATGCTTCAAGGCATATGCTGTGCTCCTCAGTTTGGGTGAGGCATGCCTCACTCTGCTAGCATGAGCGTACACCTTACCATATAATAATAATAATAATAATAATAATAATAATTAAAACTTGCCAAAATCATGAACTTTAGCACCAAAAAAATCACCACTTCTACACCCCCAATCCCTAGTAGCTTCCTCTTGATTGCTTCGACCTATAACCTGCTACCTCTGCTGTAGCCACTACCACCGTAGCCACCGCCAGGGATCACTTCAAAACTACACATCACCACCACCTGCTCTAAAAATTCTAGAGTATTACTCTCATCTTTATGTTGATGACAAACATTCATAAAAGCGGGAGATAATTGAAACAAATGAAAAAGAAGCATATTGGGGTGCATAGGCTCCACTTGATGAGGAAGCAGAGTAATCCGTTTGTTATGACATTGACTAAAATAAAACACTCTCAGTGATGACAGTGCAGATAATTTCTGAGTTGTTGCCAACTATTTTATAGTTCTTTAAGAATTAAATGTGAGTGAGTAGGTGATGCATTTAGATTTTTGCTTAATTTTTTGTTATGAACAATATTAGTTATATTTTCTATTTTTTTTGTTTTTATGCTATCCAATGATGGTGGTAAATCCAATGATCATGGTAGGATGAGGTTTGGATTTTGCTTCCTTGGGTTTGCCGGCTTGGGGGGTCCATTTGTCCTTTGGATGTTTGTTGGTTTCATGAAGGCATTGGCTGTTTCGGTTTGAGCTTAAGTAGTTAAAACTTTAGTTGTGCCAGCTCATTAATATCTAGTGGAGAAGTAGCTCATTATGAGCTGATGTCTTGCTATAAAATTAAGGTTGGGAGCAAGATTTGGTGGGTGGAACTTGATCTTTCACATTCTTCTTGAAATTGAGTTGCTGCAGCCTTTTTCTTCTCTGGAAATGTCTCTCACGGGCAGCTGCTGCTTCGGGTGTGATGTGCCTCTTCGGGTGCTGTTTTCTTTACTGCTTTGGCATCCCTTTGTTGACCGAGAATTGAATTGCCGCCTGGTTTCCTGTGCTGAAACTGCGGCTTGTGCTGTCCTGGCTGGTTCCATGGCTTTGTTCATTGGAAATTTTAAAGTGGCTCTTGGGATTTCAGCGGGAATGACTCTTGGCTTTTCATTTCTACTTGGAAACTTGGGAACTTTTGGCTGTTATGTTCCCCCTCTTTGGCCTATATATATGAGGTATTTTGAGAAGAAATGGTGGTGAATATTTGAGAGCTAAGTGCTTAAAAAAAAAAAAACCTGAGGGTTTTCTTCTTTGGAAGAGCTTGAGAGCTTTTTCCATTCTCCTTCTCTCCTAGGAAAGCTTGCGAGCTTCTCCTCTTTCGTCTCGGCTTCTAACCCCTTTCTTCTCTACGCAAGTTCCACTCCACCTGTATCTTTCTTCTAGTTCCGTTGGTGAAATTGTTGCTGTTTTTGGTTGGCTGTTTTAGGGAAGCTGTGGGTTGTTTTTGTTGGCTATTTTAGCAAGGTTGTTGGCTGTTTGGTGAAGTTGTGGACGGTTTTAGTGGCATTTGCTGGAGAAGTTGAAAGGACATTGGATACCCCTAGCTGTGGTGGACCCTTGGTTTGCATATCTAAACCTTATTTAAAATTATATTCCTACAATCGGTACATGTGAGGAGTCCTCTTGAAGGATGTTCTGAGGATAGTTTTTTTTGTTAAAAATATTGTTTTCCTTTTTGATCTTCTTTTGTTTTGGTTGTTGAAAGTTATCTTTTCTTAAGCTAATTGTTTTCTCTAATCCCTTTTGTTTTTCTGAAGTTAGTTGTTTTCTCTAACTTATTTTGTTCTCTAAGTTATGTCTTAATTTTAAAAAGTAAGATTTGATTCTCTTTGTTGATCTCTCTTTGTGCTTTGCTCTAATTTGTTTACATCAGTAGGGAAGTGAGAAATAAGGAATTTGAAGTTGAACTTGATGTTATATGATAATTTTTATGCAATTTTTATATTTTATATTGTTTTTCTTTTGTTATATTTGGATTTAAATTCCATTTCACATAATTTAGCACTTCCCTCTGTACGGCTTGTACAATTTTTTATTTCATAGGTATGCCAATTTATTACTTTATAGTTAAATAAAAAGTTAATATGCCATATTTTAATATATTATTTCAGTATGTTTTAATAAATCTCTTTTAACTTTTATTTTCAGTTTACACAATTTTTGAATTTAAGGATTACGCCTCAAAACGGTTTAAGGCTTACGCCTCGCCTCACAAACGACAAATGTCTCCATACTCAATTGCACAATCTTAAACCTTGTTGCAGCTGTAGCCCTCGAAGGCCAACTACATTTCCGGGTGGTGCACGATATAGTCCCAAAGGGGTCCTACAGCCTTAGAAGGGGCTTTTTTGTTCTGCTATAGTTTCACATTAATTAATAATTGGACAACACCTGCTAATGTTCATTATATCTAGATTTTTCATGATTTTAATACTTTTTACATACTAATAGATTTAATATTGTGATGACAAGGATTATGAATTATCTTCTCGCAAATTGTTTTGGAGTTGTGAATAAATTTGATGATTTTTTGAATATCGTAAATATAGTTTTGAACACAACAGAAATTTAGGTGGCTATTAGTCTATCTTTGATCACATTGAGGAAGACATAATTTTAGGGACTTGAATGAAATTTATCGAGACTTAAATTATGATTCTTCTATGTTTAACGAAAATTTCATGATTAAGGATTATTTTCTTCTTAATGGGGCTCATTTTGCATTCCTTTTTTTTATCTTTGAGGGATTTCCTTGTTTTAGAGTTATTTATGTATAATGTTGTGGGATATTTTTGTTGAGATACATTTGTTTTATGACTATGGATGGATAGCGTTGACCAAGTTTAAAAGAGATGGTGCAAGAGTGGTTCACAATTTGTAGCATGTTAAACAATTAAAGGAAAATAAAAGAAATAATATTCCTTTTAAGTCTTGGGAGAATGTTAAAAAGTATGTATCTAGTCGGCATTTGATACTGTATAATTAAGTTTTCATATAATTTATTTATCAATATGTAAACAAATATGAGCTCATTTGAAATTGTTATGGTAGAAAGGTTACTATTAAGTATGACAATTATAAGTCTACTATTGATATGAATAAGAGACATGTATAAGTAAAATCAGGTAATATGGTAATGATACATTTAAATCCTGAAACATTCTTTACAGTAATATTTATGAAATTAATTGCTAGAAAGATGGAGACATAAAATTATATTTTGCATTGGGTTGGATGCTTATTAAATAGGAATTTCAGGAAGTTTTAATAATTGTTTTGTTTTTCATGTATGCAATTTAATGTTATTTCATGAACTTTCTTTTAATGCCTTGTCTTTTTTGCTTTTTTCATCTCTTCCTTGTAAATTATATTCGATAATTTACTAGGCAACATTATACATTTATTCTAGAAGATATTTCAAATGATGAAGTTAATGTCCATCACTTCTAGTGGATATCGAAGATAGCTTGTGCATTTGCATGATTAATCAGCTGCAATGATTCATGGATTATTTTACAGGAAATATACCGATTATGCTTAGATTTGTTAATGAATGTCAAGTTCTCAATTCATTGTTGCGGAAAAAAAATAAAAAGAAAATTCATTGTTGTGGAATTTTTTCATGTCGGTAAATTTGATGGAAATTTAATGTTCATACTCAATTGGAAATACATGATATGAACATTGTGGCGTGCATTTTTTTTTGAGTTTTGCTTTGCTTTATTTAGTTCTGATACTTTTTAATTTAGTTGTAAACATGCTTATGATCCTTATTGATAATTTATTGTGTTTCTTAAATTTTATGCGGATATGGTTTGGTTCCCTTGAGTCTCCAATAGCTGTTTCTTGCGGGTTCTCTGATTTTTCTACAGCTAATTTCAAGGTTAAGATTCTCTTTTTCAGCAATTAGAGCCCCATTTTTATTCTAGTGTGTTTCCCTATTCTTGCGAATCTTGCCAAGCGGGACCAAATGTGTCCTTTATTTGCAATATTCAATTTTCTTAAATATGGAATTTTCTATGAGACTACTTCATTTTATATATGGGATTCTCGATGGAGGGGTGATTATTTCAACCTAAATCTTCTGGTGTACAATTTATTGTAGCTAAAGATTGGAGGTTGTTAAAATGGTATTCTTTCCCTATTTGATTTCTGTTTTATTGTAATTTTAGTCTATATTCTGTGTCAGTGCTAATTTTTGCTAGATTTTGGTAATTTTTTAACCAACAAATTTTTGGTATTTTTTTTAATTATAAATCATATTATTGGCGCATGTTTAAATTGAGATCATTTTTTGATAACATTTAGTCTCTTCTCTAACTTATTTGTGCTATAATAATCGAAGTGGAAAGTTTTTTTTTTTCATCTTTTAAGCATCATACTACCATATTAATTCAATAACGCTTTTCTAAATGAATTATCCAGATGTACTGTTAGTTGGCTATTCATTTTGTACAATTTTGAAATTCTAATGTGCAATGTTTCATAAAATGCCTAGATAAGATAATTAGGTTTGTAATTTGAAGAACGATCCATTGATGGTACTAAAATGATTTTGGTCTTATTCTGCAGAGAATTTACTTTTTTATTCTGAGGAACATATTATTTATGGAGAATATGCTTTTAAGCAGTGGGATCCAAAATTGATAGAATTTGTCCTCAGCTATTTCTCTCCAAAGAACATGAGGATCGACTTGTTATCAAAGTCTTTCAATAAGGATTCACAGGGTAATTCGCTACTTTCTTGCATCTTTAATTTCCATTCGAAGTTCAACTGATTTTTACCTAATTTTTGGTGATTCTAGTCACTTGTTCGGTTGTTCCTGACAAAAGTTGTCAGATTGCTTGATGCGCATAACTGAGCAGCAAATTGCTTTCCATTTATAGTGTAAATTGATTTACCTGTAGTCATTATAACGTAGATTGGTTTCCTTAATTACGATGATGGCAGCAATTGAGTTTCCACAGAAAAACCGAAGTTGATTCTTTGTGCGGGCCATAAGGATTGATAGAGAGGTAGGAATGGGGAAGTTGCTGGGAGCATATGTTGCTGATTTGAGAGTCAAACATCAGTGGAAAGGTTTGGGAGGGAAGGAAGGGCGAGGAGGGACCATGATTTGCAGATGAGTGCCAGATTAGCATTCTTAAGTGTAGTGATAGAGAGAGGTAGGGAAGCATTGAGATACAAATTTTTGCAGAGAGGGATGGAAGGAATGCGTAGTGTGATGAAGAGGGTAGGAAGAAGATACATGTTAACTCATATGGTTCTCGTAGTCACTCAGGGTGATGTAAAACATATATGCAAGGATGAATAGATAGAGAAACTTGCACGCTTAATTTTAGAATCCACAATAATCATATCTTTATATTGATTTTAAATGACAAAAGAAAACATAAAGAGCGGTGACATAAGCTTAGGCTAAATCACATGTGTAGGAGTTAAGACCATAAAACAATCAATTAGTCTAACATTGCATACATGAAAAGTTTCAATAAGAAATCCCTAGACTAACAATGAGATTAATACTATGAAGGATTCCTCACACAACTCTATAATTTACTAGGCTTTAGCGGAGGACTAACACGATCTCAGTGAATTAATTAATTCCACGATTGAAAGTAACTAGGAAAAAAAAAAAGAGTTAGGGAAAGAGTTCACCGAATCCTGGGTTTTGGGTCTTTGGGGCAGCAACTAGAAGGTCTTTCTTATTAGGACAGTCGCCTCCTTTGGCGGAATTTTCATGTAGGCGGGGGGTCAAATCAAACCCAAAAAAATTTGGTTTTGACTTCTCTTGAGCTTGCTAGCTCATTAATTTTTGAGCTAAGATTTAGCTCATTATGAGCTAGTTTTTTAGTTCATTTATTGAATTAAGAGTTAGCTCATTATGAGCTATATTTTTAGATCATTTATTAATTTATTAGTAGCTCATTATTTTGTCTCATCTTCTTCCCCTTGTCTATTCGTTTCCCGTGGATGGCTCTTGGGTTCCCGTGCCTTGGCTCCTTGGTTCCCACGGCTGCCTCCTTGGTTCCCATGGTTGCCTCCTTAGTTCCCACGGTTTCCTCCTTGGTTCCTGTGGCTGCCTCTTCGGGTCCCTTGCTGGGCTTTTTCCCGTGAAGTGTTGGGGGGATTTCCGTGGTTTGTAATGCTTGGTTTCCTGTGCTGAAAGCTTTCCCATGCAATGCCCCTTGGGTTCCTGTGTAGTGGCTGTTGGTTTCCCTGCACTAGCTGGCTATTTTCCGTGCCTTTATCCCTTGTTTCCTGCAGCTTTTCTGTGCAAATTTAGGACAGATTTCTGGTCTGTTTTTAGACAGAAATCTGGACTGAATTGTTGGCTTTTCATTTCCCTCATTTATCAAAGAATATGAAGGGTTTTTAGGGCTGTTTAAGTTCCCCTTCTCTTGTCTATAAATAGGAGTTGTTTGTGGCTGTTTTAGAATATGTTATATGAATGATTTTTAGAATTGTAAACCTGCGGGTTTTGTTGGAAAAGCTTACAAGCTTGTTCCATCTCTTCTTCTTCTATCTCTTGGGAAGACTTGCGAGCTCTTTCCACCCTTCTTCTCAGCTTCTAACCTCTTTCGTCTCTTCGCAAGTGCCACCTCACCTGTATCCTTCTTCTAATGGATGAAAGCTTCTTTAAGTGTTTGTTTTGAAGTCATAAATTTGTCAAATGTTTGTAAGCATCAAAGTTTGTAAGAGTCCTTGTTTGTAAGTCCTTTTATAATATTAAAGTTGTGTTTTGTTTTGTTAGTTATATTTTGTCAAGTTTTTGAGTATTTTATGTCTTTCTATCATCCTAGAAAGAGTTTTATTTTATGATAAATAATTTGGGTCCCTTCCCAAATTTTTGATTGCATTAATTTGGTATCAGAGCAAGTTAGGAAGTCTTAGGTTTTTAAGTTGGTTTATCAAGTCAAGTCAGGTTGTGTGAGTCTTATGATTCGTGTGTGTCTTGATGTCATGTTAGTTATCATGTAAGTTTTGTTTTGAGTCATGTTGTCATTTGAGTTTTGGTGTCAAGTGAGCAATCTCAAGCCTTGTTGTCTCTTGATGCAACGCCTTCAGAACAAAGCTAACTCATCGGGAGATGAGTTCTCAAGAAGCTGAGTCTGATGTAGGCAAGGGGGGGGGGGGGGAGGGGGGGGGGGTCAAATCAAACCCAAAAAAATTTGATTTTAACTTCTCTTGAGCTTGCTAGCTCATTAATTTTTGAGCTAAGTTTAGCTCATTATGAGTTGATTTTTTAGTTCATTTATTGAACTAAGAGTTAGCTCATTATGAGCTATGTTTTTAGATCATTTATTAATTTATTAGTAGCTCATTATTTTGTCTCATCTCCTTCCTCCTGTCTATTCGTTTCCCATGGATGGCTCTCGGGTTCCCGTGCCTTGGCTCCTTGGTTCCCACGGCTGCCTCCTTGGTTCCCACGATTGCCTCCTTGGTTCCTGTGGCTGCCTCTTCGGGTCCCTGGCTGGGCTATTTCCCGTGAAGTGTTGGGGGGATTTCCGTGGTTTGTAATGCTTGGTTTTCTGTGCTGAAAGCTTTCCCATGCAATGCCCCTTGGGTTCCTGTGTAGTGGCTGTTGGTTTCCCTGCACTAGCTGGCTGTTTTCCGTGCCTTTACCCCTTGTTTCCTGCAGCTTTTCTATGCAAATTTAGGACAGATTTCTGGTCTGTTTTTAGACAGAAATTTGGACTTAATTGTGGGCTTTTCATTTCCCTCATTTATCAAAGAATATGAAGGGTTTTTGGGGCTGTTTAAGTTCCCCTTCTCTTGTCTATAAATAGGAGTTGTTTGTGGTTGTTTTAGAATATGTTATATGAATGTTTTTTGAAAATGTAAACCTGTGGGTTTTGTTGGAAAAGCTTGCGAGCTTGTTCCATCTCTTATTCTTCTATCTCTTGGGAAGACTTGCGAGTTCCTTCCACCATTCTTCTCGGCTTCTAACCTCTTTTGTCTCTCCGCAAGTGACACCTCACCTGTATCCTTCTTCTAATGGATGAAAGCTTCTTTAGGTGTTTGTTTTGAAGTCATAAATTTGTCAAACGTTTGTAAGCGTCAAAGTTTGTAAGAGTCCTTGTTTGTAAGTCCTTTTATAATATTGAAGTTGTGTTTTGTTTTGTTAGTTATATTTTGTCAAGTTTTTGAGTATTTTATGTCTTTCTATCATCCTAGAAAGAGTTTGTTTTTGTGATCAAAAATTTGGGTCCCTTCCCAAATTTTTGATTGCATTAAATTTCCTCTGGACAGCACCCTGGATCCTGTTCGGTGGATTGGGGCAGCAGGTAGAGGACTTTGGAGCAACAGAACTGTTGTTTCTGCTGCTGGAATTCTTCTGGACAGCACCCAGGGATGACTGGACAGCTGCTATGAGAGCCTTGGCAGCAGTTTGGACTCTCCAGAAATTTTGGACAGCAAAATAGGAAGTTCTGGACTGTGGGACAGCCAGGAAATTTGCTGTAGTTTTCTGGACAGCACTTCATGGATGAACGGAAGCTGGACAGCAGCGTTGTGAAGGCAGTTAACTTCTCTCTAGGTCACGGTTTGGGAAGCTTAGCGTTGGGGGAATGCCTTCTAAAAAGAAAATCTGAGTTTAGTCTCAGATTATGTAGCTTGTGATGGAGGGAAGGATTAAAAAAAATAAATCTGGATTTATTTCAGAGTTATCTATGTCACGGATTTGAATTTTGAAATTCAAATAAGAGAGGAGGGAAGCGACATTGGGTGTTTAATTATTTCCCTAATTGAAGCCTTCAATAAGGAAGGAAATAATTAAGCAAGATGGGAAATGGGGCCGACCATAAAGAGAGGGGAGAGAGGAGGTTTGTGTTTAATATGTGGGCCCCAAGGAAGTTAATGTGATTTTAATCAAATCTGAATTTAGTTTCAGATTTGATTTAAATAAAAAGATACTTCCAAATGGGAATTAACTCTCTAGGAAGTAGTTTTGAAATTCAAAATAGAGGGATTGTCAACAAGGATTCTTTCATAAATAGCATAGAGATAGTTTAGGAAAATAATCATGACAAAATTTGAGATTCAAAATTCAAATTTGGGGGACTAGGGATGATGGGGCCGGCAGGTTGAACATGTAGAGGAGGAGAGGGGAGGGCCGACCGGCAGTTGGACTGGTGGCCGGCGGCTTGAGTGGGCAAGGGAAGGGGCAGCGGGTTGGGTAAGGATTTAAGCTTTGGTAGGAGAAAAGAAAGGGGTGCGGATGGCGAGGCCGGTGTGTGGAGGGATTTCGATGGAGGTTTTTAAGTAAAGGAAAGAGAAAGAGATTGTGGATCCGTGAACCTTGGAATCCACCAAAGATTGGCGGGTAGTGCTTTCACCCACCGAGAGTCTCTCCTCTCAAGAACTAACTAAGAGATTAAGCAAAGAAAGCTGAAATTTCATTTCATAATTGATCATCCTACAATACAAGAGAGCTAGCCTATAAATAGGCCTCATGAAAAACAAAAAAATAGCAAAAACTAAAACGCCCTTCGGGCTACAACACCACATGACCACTCCTAAGGGTAATATGAGAAAAATAGTAATATAAGATAAACTAGTACATAAGACATTAAAAAAAAATAAACTAAATAAAATAAATTCTAGATCGTAGCCGTTGATCTTCTGATGTCCTCATCACAGGGGAATGATTCTTAATGTTTCACCTAGCTCTTTGAATAATTCCGAGGTAGATGTAAGCCTCACACCATATTTTCATGTTTGGTTG